CGCTGGGCATACACTGTTACGTTGGGCGTAACATGGATTGGGCTGGTGACTCCCCCTTCGGATAATACCGAAATTTGTTTTAAATTTATATTTTTATTATTTAGTAAACTTCAAAAATTCATATCTTCTTCATACAAACTCCGTTTTCAACGTTCTTTATATCTACGCGTAGGTGAGACTACGCTCTACAACTTTCGTTTAGACTCCATCGACAAATTTTGAAATTATTTTTATTATTTATTTTTAAAAAGTCGGGGTAAGAAAAGTTCATTAGAAATCCATAACTCCTTTATCCGATGTCTGTTTTTGCCAGACTTTTTACCATTGAAATACCATTGTTGAGACCTTCGATACACATTTAGGTTATTCTGGCCAAAAGTCGCTCGATCTCTATTTCGAGTTTTTAGCTATCTACCGCGATACCGAACTTGGAAAAATCATAACTTCCTCATACGAAGTCAGATTCGGACGTTCTTTTTATGTACGCTCACGGTTTAGTAATATTTAACATAGTAGGTAACTAAAATAGAGACTTTTGTATATTTTATTTTTAAAGTTAATTTCATTATTTTCAAAAGTGGTTACAATAGTTGACTTTTTAAGTCATTACATAGAACCGAAATATCTGGTTGTCACATATTCTATGGCAGCTAGGGTTGGGGCAGGAGCTAAAGTAGCAACTGAAACATATGTATTTGAATAGGAAGTAACTTGCGGATAGGACATTGAAGAGTGAGCACTTTGCATAGATGGAGTGACATATGATGATGGTTGGGAAACAACAAATGGTTAAACTGGAGGAGTGGTGAAAGGTGAAAAGGCATTATTGGATTGAATTCCCAGATTCACAGTGGAGTATGAATTAACATGGTTGATCTCTGTCTGCTTGTAATCCAATTCACAAGCTTTAATGATAGTCATTGTTTCAGCTAAAATTAGACAATTGAGATCTTTTGTTTTCCTGATCACAACAACATTCATATCCCAAGACCTTGGCAGAGAATTGAGCAACTTTTTTTTATTTATTTCATATTTAGGCACAAAAACTCCGGCTGAACTCATTTTAGTAGTGAGTGTGGTAAATCGTTGTAACTAAACATCTAGTGTTTCACCAAGAATATGATTGAACATATTGTATTTTTGTCTTAGCATATCCTGTAGGCTCTATTTCATGTCTTCGTTTCCTTCATAAACTTTAATCAAAGCTTCCCATAGAACTTTGGCTAAAGTGTATTCTCTAAAACATTGTGCAATCTCTTTGGATAATGCCATTGTGAGTGTAGCCAATGCTTTTTCTTACTCTTCAATTTTTTCAAAGTCATCATCTGTTTAGTTTTCAATTTTCTTGTCAGTGACTGTTCCGTCTTTAAGTGTTGTGGTGATATGAATTGGTCCTCTTAAAATGCTTCTCCAAATTTTTAAGTCTTTCATTTTAATGTATTTTTCCACTCGATACTTCCATTCTGGAAATCCTTCGGCAGATAGTAAGCGAGGAATTCGAGTGGCAGTTCCCATTATATTGTCCAATTCATGATGAGTTGATGAGATTTGTGAGTCCATTCTTTTTTGTTGTTTTTGGCTTTTCAGAAATGAACAAATCGAGAATCTATGAAGAAAAAAACTTAAAATTAAGAAGTTCAACTTACTAAGGAGTTTACGACCGTACACTCCCAACCGTATACTCTAGTCGTACACACCCAACCGTACACTCTTCAACCGTATACTTCCAACTGTACACTACAGTTGTATACTCCCAACCGTACACTCTTAACCGTATACTTACAACTGTACACCTTCAACCATTTATCTTCAACCTTCAACCGTACACCTTCAACCGAGCTCAACCATACACTACAAAAACACTTGATTTTCAATCTAAAGCCTTAAATGTTGTTCAGAAATAGATACTCTATAAGCAGTTTCGAATTATCTTCAAAAATTGTGAAGTTTCTCTGGCCGTACACTCATAAGAATCCATATTGACACTGATTAGGCTCTGATACCAATTGTAAAGTCCCGAATTCTAAGATCCAAATCAGTGATAAAATGATATTGCAATCAATCAGAGTGTAGAAGGAGTAGAAGAAGAATTAAGCCAAGCATGCACACATTTATATCACATAAACATCAAATACACCTTGGAAAACACACACTTACATCACACTAAAACTGACACACACACACACACACACCTACTATTTATAGCACTCCCAACAGTACATGAGTGTACAGCCACACATGTGTGTATGGCCGTACACACATGTCTTGTCGTACACAGCCATAAAAAGGTTACAACCACTATAACTAACCCTAAGACCCTACCAAGACCTATACAAGATGGATGCCTAGCCCAAACCACTATATTATGACCTATCATTTCTTTTACACAACATTAGGTAATGGAGTGAGATTGATTTGTCTTTTTTAGCCTTCAATGGAGCAGTTGTGTCTTTTTTTTTTTTTTGATAAACCAAGACTAAGCAGTAGATTCTGCCAATGCATTTGGACGTAAGAAATCAATTAGCAGATGAGCAAAATATGGGCAAATGACATAAAAGCCCTTAAGTTTTCACAAAAATATCGGTTTTACCCTTGGATGTGTTTTAGGTCTAGTAAAGTTAGATGTGTTGTTTAATTTGTTCATTTATACCCTTTTATCCGGTTTCAAGTAACCTACCGGTTACCTAATATCAGTAAAACCCTTGAGTTTTCAAAAAAAAATCTTGGATTTACCCTTAACTTATCAAAAGTGTTCAGATTTACCCTTACTTTGATTATTATTATTATTATTATTATTATTGTTATTATTATTATTATATTTCTAATACATTTTAAATGTATAAAATTGTTTTATACATAAATATTTTAATTTATAAAATTATCTTTAATTAATTCATATATATATATATATATATATATATATATATATATATTATATATATATATATATATATATATATATATATATATATATTTGTATTTAGTATTTATATACATTTGAAAGCCTATGTATTCCTTTAAAAATGTATTTATATATTGAAAATGTATTTAATTGTATTTAGTAGGTATATGTATTTCATTTATAAATATATTGTATACATAAATATAAAAATACATATTTATAATGTTTATATTGTATAAACGAAATAACAATGAATATTTATTTATTTCAAATTTATAGCGGATTTAATTGGTTGGTAGTGGTAAGACGTGCTACCCCTCATTTCATCCATATACATTTTAAGTTATGGCCTAAAATTATTAGAACATTTTTATTAACACAACTCCAAACAAAAAAATGGCACATCAATAGCCTAATCAATTAGTCCACTGCCCATATATTACTTGTATTTTTAGGTGATATTTTCCTTTATATATTACATTTATTTATTCATTAAAAAATAACTGTAACAAATAATTAAAAACAATTGATTAATTAGCCGTTTTGTCAATTTGTCATTATAATGATATATTTGGTATACATATATTGATTGGTTGATATAGCTTAAGTAGATACGATAGTCTTGATTTTTATTTATATACGAAAGCCTATGTTAATATCATTTTTCTAAAAAATACATGTTTTCTATATAACAAGTCAAGTCTACTATAATAAATGAAGGTTTTTTTTGCCACATGTCATCTTCTCATTTATTTGGACACTTGGCATTTTATAGATTTTCTAAATTTTCTATTTTCCACTTATCATTTTATTGTATTTTTCATTTTATTAAATTAAAATTCCACATTTAATTTGTAATGTAATATATATGTAAAGTATTTATTAGAAAGAGTTTATATATGTAATGTATTCAATACATTAAAATCTTATTAATTTTAATAATTCAAATTTTTCTTATTTTTCTTATAAATTCAAACTTTTCATAACTTTTTATCTAATTATCTTTTATATCACGAAAATGTTTCGGTGCTATCCCTAACAAAAAATTTTGGGTCCACCCGTGACGATTATTTTTATACAAAATAAATACATATTTATATCTATTAAATAAAAGTAAAGTTTTTTTTTTAAATGTGTAAAAAAGTTTTTGTTTGTTTTAATAGACAAACTTTTCTGTATTAACTTTATTTAGTAGATATAAATATTTATTTATTTTATATAAATACTATCGTGTATATATATATATATATATATATATATATATATATATATATATATATATATATATATATATATATATACACACACACACGAAAGAAATACATATTTATACTTAGTAATATGTACAAATACATGTAATTATATCTTTTATTCAGTATAAATATAGATAGATATTTTTATATTTGTATTTATACAATATATTTTAATACAAAATACATACATACATACATATATATATATATATATATATATATATATATATATATATATATATATATATATATATATATTAATACATACTAAATACAAATAAATATATTTTTAATATATAAATACATTTTTAAAGTCATACTTTAGCTTTCAAATGCATATAAATACTAAATAGAAGTAAATATATATTTAAATAGTACATACAAGTAAATATATTTTTAAATATATAATAATAATAATAATAATAATAATAATAATAATAATAATCAAAATAACAATCAAAGTAAGGGTAAATCCGAACATTTTTTAAAACTTAAGGGTAAATCCGAATATTTTTTAAAATTTAAGGGTAAATCCGAATATTTTTTAAAACTCAAGGGCTTACTAACATTAGATAATTAGTAGGTTGCCTGCAAACCGGCTAAAAAAATATAAATAAAGAAATTAAACAAAACATGTGTTTACGGGATCTAAAACATATCTAAGAATAGAAACAACATTTTTAAAAATATTAAGGGTTTTTATGTCATTTTCTCCTAAAATAAATAAAGAGAAACATGTGAATAAACAATATAGGAAGATAGTTAAAATCAAGCTTTCGCACTAAACTTTTATTATTTATAAAAAAGCAAAAGGATGAATTAAAAACATCAAAGATTTAATATGCTAAAGGAGTTTGAAAGCTAAACTAATACCGACATAGAGGAATGTATAAAGACTTCTACTAAAATAAGGAAAGTTTCCATTTATGCCCTTTACTCTGAATTACTCTAACACGAGGATGTTGATAAGTAATAACTAAGCCAACCTCGGGTTAATAAAGGTGATCAACATGAAGAACAAAAAAGAAACTATAGCAATTCCAGTTGAGGTACGGACACGACTTGAATGAGAAATTTTAACGCCATGCACCATGTACACTTTCTTGGATTCATCATCTTTCACTTTGATGGTTGAAGAACCTAACAAATTTACGAATCATTAATTATAATGCATATAATTTATATTATCAATTTCATCAGGGATTTTAAAGGTTCATGCTAAAGAAAAAAACAACGTAAAATAGGTATGAATACATAGTTGAAAGAAGTAAAAGATATTAATGAGTGATCTATACTTACACTTATGCTCAATCCATCCAATGGTCTTCTTTTCTACATCGTAGGTTACCAGCTTATCAGTCAATACAACATCTACATAAAAAATTTATGTGTATCACCTTTTATATAATATATATTTATAGATCATAATAAAACATTTTATGACAAAAATTTAAAGGAAATATAATTAGTCAAGATACCGGAAGAAATATAAAAAATATGACTCATGGCTGACCTCCCAACAAAGTTATCTCTTTCCCATCCTCGGTTTGCAAATTGCTATCCTGGAAACCGATGCACCATTCTTGATCCTGATGGAATATTTCCATAAAAAAGTAATAAAATGCCTTAAGCAACCACCATGAAAATTTGAAGGATAAACCGGATTAATTACCTCAACTTCAAATAAATATTGATGGGGGTAAACTTTTAGAGATAACGAGTTCTGGAAGTTAAAAGCCACAACCGGAAAACCCTTCTCAACACTGCATAGTCACAGGAAAAATACAAAGATACAAATAAATGTTTGAATGTTAGAAAATTCAATCGTATACAGATTAGCTTCGACTATCTTTAATGTTGGATCCTTAACAAAAACTTACTTTCCAGAGTATTTATAGCATGTGAACTGCTGATCTACAATGTGGCTCTTTAAATTAGGTTGTGCAACATTGATCTAGGTAAAAATGACAACCATAAGAATCATATAGAGAAAATTTAAGGTGGAAGTTAATGTACCAATGGAACTACACATGACTAACACAAAGATTAATGCAAACATTGAAACGAAGATCCTATATACCTTGTTGATCAATTGCTTGTAAACGAAGTCAGGTAAATAAGCTAAGGTTGTACCACTGTCAATAATTGTTCCTTGATTTGTTCCAACACCAAACATATCTTTTGGAAGTTGTAAAACATCATTACCTACCTGAATTGCTTTTAATTCAACATTATAATGCCCCCTGTGATAAAAATAAACCATAAACAACATGTATTCATAGTCAGGATATGTTATCCAAGGTAAACCATCAATATAAACATGTGGAGCCCAAGATTGTCCCTCCAAAAAAGTCCTTATCGAGAGAGGGGCGACTCTAACATATATAAAAAGAAAAGCGATTGTGTCGCATCAATGTGGGATATACTATTAGTCATAGTTTTTTCACGAGCACTACCAAAGTCGTTAGAGTTAATTACCATCAATGGGTAAATTAGTAATTTCACTTGTGCTTAGTAAGGTGATTCTTTAAGTGGCATATTTCTTCTTTATGTACCTATACATATTTGGTAGTGTGTTCATAATCAATATATAAGGTAGGAAATTCAAAACCTCTCATTCTCTTGATTACAACATGGTGTTTGCTTTTTGATATGTTCTTCTGCATTATATTGATTCATTTCTCATTTTCCATTCAATTTTACGTCAATCTATTTAATTTTCATCTGAATTTGATTTCAGTAATGTTTTATTCTTGTAGAAATTCAAATCAGTCCAACATTGTTGATCCTTCAGGCCCTTTCTACCTTAGATAATCTAATAATTAATGCACGATTCTCATTTCTAACATTTTCACTAGAACTGGATTCTCAACTTGGAAATGATCAATGATAATTGCGCTATATGAAAAACAAACTTGATTTCATTGATAGAATCATATATAATCCACCAATTGATTCACCATTATATTTAAGTCGATACATAGCCAAAAAGAACATAAGTTAAATGATAAACAAACATCGGTAAAACTTGCGGAATATAACTTCTGAAAACATAAATAAAAAAATTCAACACGTTATTTAACATGGTTCCATCAAGGTGACTTATGACTACAGACGAATGAGAGAGAGATGATTTTATTAAAATTCAAAGATCAATGATAACCACTCATAAATGTTACATCTCACTTGAGCTTTCAAACAAAACTAATCTCATTTGCTTACTAATTATTTTATTGGAAGTGCTCTCAACTTCATAATGATTTCTCTCTTGAATTCTCTTTGCAATAAATAATGAAGGGGGTGTCTACATATTTATACGTAAGCATGGGAAATGCTAAATATGATGGGTTAGGACTATCCATAATTAGCATATGAAGGGGCCACCCTGATTATTAATCGATCATGGGACGCCATGTAACTACTTCTTGAATATCCAGTACCTATGAGTGTACCAAGCTACTTACGGGTGAATTACGCTCCAAGTGATCATCTTGATTCCAAGATGGTACATCATCATCCAAGGGGAGCATCTTGATTTCAATATGGCACATCATGATCGAATGGGAGCATCTTGATTCCAAAATGGTGTATCATGCTCTAAGGGGAGCATTTTGAAGCCAAAACTACACATCATGTTACAAGGGGAGAATCTTGTTTCCAAAATGGTGTATCATGATCCAATGGGAGCATATTGATTCCAAAATGGGGCATAATTTTCCAAGGGAGCATCCTGATTCCATGATGGTGCATCATGATCCAACGGGGAAAATCTTGATTCCAAAATGACACATGTGCTCTAAGCGGAATATCTTGATTCCAAGATGGTGCATCATTCTGCAAGTGCAACATCTTGATTCCAAGGTGGCGAATATTGAGGCCTTCAACGCGTCCACCATATAAGTTGACACTTTGGGCTTAACGTCATCTCTCAAAGACCACCTTTCTTCCTAAAGGAACACTTTAATCACTAGGAGCATACTTTTGTCATCAGCAGCACAATTTGATCAAGAAGAGCACACTTTGTTTCCCAAGAGCACACTTTACTCACTAAGAGCACATGTTGATCACAAAGAGAAACTTTGATCTCCAAGAGCACCTTTTCTAAAGTTTTCACACCCCACTAATCAGTTGGTTACAATATTATCTTTATCATAACATTGTTGAACGTATTCTTTTCCTTGAAACTGCTCATGAAATCTAGAATGAACTTAATCAACAATATGAAAATCATATGGGGCTCTCATGTAGCATATAAAAAAAAACAATTTTACTCTTTACTACAAGTATCTAATGACCTCTTCACTTAATTTATTAAGTTGAAAAGAATTAGGATGAAATTCGCATTATCCAAGTCATTTCTAATTGTACATGAATTGGTGTTGCATGTATTAAAAAATATTTTAATGATCAACATTTGATTCATTATGCTCCTAGCTTAACTGATACTTACAAAATCCTTAGAGGCCAAATTTTGATGATGAAATTATTAGCAAGTGTCACCAATATTTATTCTATTATCATATAAGATGAATGTTAAAGAGACATTAATATGTATTACATTGTTAATCATGGTGTAGTTTTTATTAATATTTCAAATGATTAAATAGCTAATTACATAAAGATGTCATTGGTATGCAGTCTTACTAAGAAATCATGTCATTGTGACTCACTAATTAAAGAAAGAAGAACCTACATATGATGATCTAATTGAAAACATTGAGACATCATCAAACATATTCCAAGAAAGGTGTCAATATTTTCTTCAACCCTATTTATCATTTATCATTAACATTAGAGCAACTGACCATATATGTTATAATCAACATCTTTTCTTGTGTGTGACCAAATTCATACAACTACACTCAATTTTGTTTCATAATTGTCGTAACTTGTTCATTTCATATTGTGGTTATGTTAAAATACATGTTTCAAGCATCTTTCATGATGCCTTATATGCTCATTATATCATGGTACAATCTTCTCTCTATCACTAAGCTCATGTCTCATTTACAAACATTTCTCTTATTCATCTATTAGAAATGTTCCATGTAGGACTCATCATTGAAGAATAGCTTAGCACTTGGTATCCTTGGAAAATGAATAAAATATTTGTATGTATTTGAGTATAATGATCTAAATAAAGTCTTTCAAATAGATTTTCTATATTTATTTTGTTTCCATCATCTCATGTATACACATATAGTTCAAAAATTATGTTGTGTTAAAAAATTTAACCATGTCCCTGTATATAAACACAAGCTGACATCTACTGGAACTTTGAGATATCATAATCATGATATTCATACATGATTAACTTATTCTCAATCCATACAATTATGTTTTTCATTTCCATATAATATTTATAGTTCAAAAAACCCTTTTGATCTTATTCACATTCATATTTGTGGACCACACAAATGTCTTATCGATGATGTTATAAATATTTTATAACCTTCGTTGATGACTTTACAAGACAAATACGGTTTCATATTTTGTGTCATAAGAGTTATGAATTTTCACTGATTCAAGCCTTTGTTTCACTCGTGAGAATACAATTTCATGGAAACATAAAAAAATAAAAACTAATAATGCTAAAGAGCTTGGTTAAAGTACCAATAGAGTTAATTTTAAACAAAAGAATGGTATAATTTACCAAGATCCACCTATTGCACCTCTAAACAAAAGCGTCTTGTTGAACTCACACCTATGCATATTTAGGAGGTTAGTAGACCTTGTTCTTTTAAGCCGATGTCGGTACAACTTATTGGAGAGAACATACTAAATATTTTGTTCATATAAAGAATAGAAACCATTCAATGTTATTGCAAATTGATATTTGTTTGAGGATCTATACATAAAAAAGTTGAATTGAGTTAATCCTTCCATGTTCTCATCCTTGGATATCCCTTCTAAACTACAAGACTTCCTCATTGACCAACTCGATTTAAAGGTTATGTATGCAACATCACTCTCTCATCTAATGACAACTACACATGTAATCATAACATAAAATTTATGTGTATTACTGGCCGTCGTAATCTATATAACTTCTATTCTATTATCAACTCTAAATGTTTTGTCATATGGAACCTAACCACTTTGAACCATCTTTTTATCGCCAAGTAAATTTATTGTCAAATGGAAAGTTGACATACATACTGAGCTCAATTACTTGAATACCAATGATACTTGGTACATCTTCAAACTCCCTAAAGGAAAGAAACCAATTGCATGTAAATATGTTTATAAAGTGAAGCATCATGCAAATGATCCGGTTATGCATTATAAAGCTCGTGTCATTGTTAAGGGATTTACAAAAGAGAAGGTATAGACTTTCATGAAACATTCTTTACATTGGAAAATTCACAATTATTGGCAACATTGTTACTTTTTCTGTAAAATAAGTGGGATACATACATATATATATATATATATATATATATATATATATATATATATATATATATATATATATATATATATATATATATATATATATATATATCAATCGATGTTAATAACACTTTCTTGCATGCAGTTGGAGGTTTATATGTAACTTCCACCAATTCATAAGTCTCTTCTCTATCTCTTTTGTCAATATAATATTTACTTTATTGTATAAGACAAGCCTTTGGACAATGTTTAGGCCAATGTGTTTGCCGGCCTACAATTTGATGGTTATTCTCATTCGCCAAATGACCATTCTATTTTTCGTAAGAAAACACATTAAATAATCATTGTAACCATTTATTTGGTTGCTATCTTGGTTACTCATAATTATTGATGAAAGCAAAAGTCTTAAAACCTATTGAATAACCCATTTAAATTCAAAGATTTAGGTTTACTAGATTTATTTCTTGGTTACTCAATTAAAAAGCTTCTCTTAGCCTATAATATGATTGATTCCTCATGAGTTACAACTCCTCTTCTTTTTAAGTTAATTTCATCCCATTATAGATGATCCTCTCATAGATACTACCATTTATATACAAATAACTGACAAGCTTAACTTTTTATTGCACACTTAATTTTATCTTTCCTTCTTAATGCAATATTTAAGTCCGTTAAGACACCATCTCATCATTATAAAGCTGATGCATTACATATTCTTCAATATCTTAAAAGAACTTCTTTGTCTAGCAGCCTACTAGGGGTGTGGATGATTTCCCGTCTAATTGAGTTCAAATCTGGTAGTTGTTTTTTTCTCTTGATGCCATAGAGGTTCGTTTGTGGTGACTCCATGACATGATGCAGAACCTCATTTTCGCATAGGGATTAGGCATGATGCGTGTAAATTGGCCCGAAATCCCTCGTTAGAGGAAGACATTCTTTACATTTGTCATGTGGACTACCAATCTCATTGGAGGTAGTTACCACCATGCGAAAGTTAAATAATTTAAATTATGTTCGGTTTTAGGGATGATGATTTGGCCCTAGAAACCTAAACCGAACTGAAACCCGAACAAAACCGAATTAGGCCCAAATAAGCAATTCGATTTGGGTTTCAAATATTTATATTATGTTTATTCGGTTTTCGGAGTATTTGGTCTGGGTTACCCAAATAAGAGCTTATCCGGTTCTAAATACTCGATCTGAATAAACATTCCTCGTCCATTTTCTTTAATCGACACAAATCAAAATCACGATTCACACTTATGTCCTCTTCGTTAATAACAAAAAAGAAAAACCCTACGCTCGTTCTCATCATTTCAAAATCAACCAATCTTCTGAACTATTTCCAAACTTGAAATCTCTTATGTCGATCCTTCCTTTTTTTTTTCATAGTTTAAAAAACTAACATTTCCTATAGCTCTAAGGATTCACGAATTGATACTTTTTCTAGTCATGAAAAATTGGGCTTCAACTCAAAAAACTCAAGTAAGAAATCAATTATCATTATCTTAATCTACTATGTAACTACTATTCATTCAGTATGTTAATGTGTTATTTTAGTACTTGAATATTTTATGTTGATGTATAAAAGTACATTGTTATTTTATTATTCGGGTTATTCGAGTTATAGAATCCTAATACTGGTTAGTCAGTTTGATCGGTTATATTAGATCGTTAATCATCTTCTACATTTTATTTGGGTTATTCGAGTAATAACCGAATCAAACCGATTAATACTCGAACTGAACCGAACTCGTATTGGTTAATCGGTTCGATTTTCGGTTAATCCAATTACCCTTATTTTGTTTACGGGTTACTTAGGTTCGGGTCGAATCAGGTCGGTTTGGTCCTATTCCAACCCGATAAGATGAACGAGGCATGGACGCCAATTTAAGAGCTTCTCTTAGCCTATAATATGATTGATTCCTCATAAGTTACAACTCATCTTCCTTCTTAAGTTAATTTCTTCCTATTATAGATGATCCTCTCCTAGATGCTACCATTTATATACAAATGATTGACAAGCTTAACTTTTTATTGCACACTCAATTTCATCTTTCCTTTTTAATGCAATATTCAAGTCAGTTCAACAAGACTCCATTTCGTCGTTATAAAGTTGATGCATTACATATTCTTTAGTATCTTAAAACAACTTCTATGTGTAGCCGCCTACTAGGGGTGTGGATGGTTTCTCGTCTACTCAAGTTCTAATCAGGTTGTTGCTTTTTGCTCTTGACGCCATTGATATTCGTTTGCGGTGACTCCAGGATATGATGTAGAGTCTCATGTTCGCATAGGTATTAGGCATGATGCGTGTAAATTGGCCCGGACACCGTCGTTAAAGGAGGCCTTTCTTTACATTTGTCATGTGGACTACCAAAGTCGTTGGAGTTAGTTACCACCATGGGAAAGTTCAATAATTTAAATTATGTTCGGTTAGATAATTATGTTAGCAGCTTATTTTTGTTGTTGTACATATATGTATTTGGTAGCTTCTTCATAATCAATAGAGAACCTAGAAAATTCAAAATCTCTCCCTCTTTCTACCGGTTCTTTATTAACCAAATAAGATCGAAGAAATTAAGGGGAAAGCTAGCATAGTAAAGGCTTTAGAAGAATTTGAAATGAAAATTTGCTTCACCTTAAAGAGGACAACTTACCTTTGACTCATCATTGGTGTTGTCTTGACTTTCGGATGTACCACTTCTCCAGTGGTAAATATACCGCCTCCTTTAGAGCCATCCAGGCTATGTGAAAAAATCTTTTTAACCTTTTTTGCTGACGCAAGTTGTGATAGCATAGAAGAATCTGCCTGCCCAAACCCAAGCATTCCATCTAGTGGTAGTTCTGATAAACCCAACTCTCCAGATTGTTGAGATCCACACCTATCATGTATAATTGAACAAATGGCGATCAGTAATTAAGATCATATTCTAACAAACATAATTAAACTACATAGTTTAATCTTCAAACTTCATGGAAACACAAACTACATATGCGAAGTGTACACTTGCCCGAATGCTATACTCCCATTCATAGTTGTGGTTTGAAGGTCTCCAGAAACTCGGTCTAGCTGTACAATATCTCTAACAAAATATCCTGTCGCTGCGCTTCCATCACCATAATTAACAGAATAAGAACAATGGCTTCCGACCTTACAGTTACTAGTGGCACCCTTCAGTATGGAACTGCAAATTCCTTGATCACAAGTAACAATTTTTGCAGTTGTGGAAGCCTTCGGATCATACAACGGAAGTGATGCCTGGGAATAGAAATGGTAAAAATTGTTACTTCTGAAAAAAACAAAACAAAGATCAAAAGTAAAAACCGAATGTAACCTAACTAAACTCATGTTTCAAAGTCATTGGAATTAAAAGTTAATAAACGCTCCAAGTAAGAGAAGGAACATACTCCATTTTTACTTTTCCTAGGACATTTTTTACATCCATCACCATTTACCCATAAAAGGTCACTCCCTGTATCAATCTGCACCTGATAATCCTTTCCTGGAGTCCCTATCCGTATCTTAGAAAAATAAAGGCTACATAAGCACACAAACAAACAATATTAAACTTTCATGCCATGTATGCTATAAATATATATAAACACATTTCTCACTCTCTCTATATATATGTCTATGTCTATGTCACACACACACACACACACACACACATATATATATATATATATATATATATATATATATATATATATATATATATATATATATATATATCCCACCCGCCCCTACCCTTATTCTCTTGATCGTATTCCTTAATATATAAGGGCTACAAACACATTCATCTTCCGTAGGTGAGGATGCAGAATAGAACTAACCCTGCTGAGGTGGGGTTACTATCGCCACCTATGGGGAGGTGGACGGCTGAGAGAATCCTCCGATGACGTTCGGAATCATGAGCTTTGAATTCAGTCAAAAGCTTTTTGTTGCCAGAAAACTTATGCTGAACCTGAAAGACGACATTGGCTGATCCCAGCAAACACATATGAAAGAGAACAACGAACCCAATAACCAAAACAGTAAATTCTCCTTTATTCAATTCCATTTCCTACTAATGGAAATGTTTATTTGTTTCAAATGAGTGTCTTGTGGCTTAAATAGATGAACAAGTATATGGCAATGTTTTTTAAATGATATTTGCTTGGAGGGAAGCAGACTTTTTGGATTAAACCCACCTCGGTTTAGCCGCTAATAAAGAATCAAAGCAAAATTAGAGGCAGTTCTGACAACAAACATATAAGTTATTATCGTTATGCGTGTTCTCGATACTTGATACTGACCGATTCCTCATCCTACTAGTGCTGGTAGTTTATATTTGGCAAATTCTATACATTACCCTCTCTACCTTTAGGATTCTATTTAATATATACAATATTTAATTCATTTATAGATTATAATAGGGTAATTTATATCATTTCCTTTGATACCTATTGTATTTAGATGACTATTTTACCCTTCATAATTTTTTTCATTTTTTTTATTTATTTAACAGTTTTAAATTTAAAAAATAAAAAATAAATCAAATATCCCTTCTCGTGTTTCATTAACCCCTCTATACAACAAGATTCTTCACAATTTACCCATCACCACCTGTCACCTCCTAGACCTCCGACACCACCACTTGTCATCCTCATATCCTCCGGCACCACCACCTATCACTGCCATCTCTTCTTGCACCACCATCTATCACCTCAAATACATCTTCCAACGAAAACATAATATGAAAATTTTCAACTTGTCGAAAATCAATATGAACACAGGTGAAGAGGGAGATCGACCTAAGTGTTGTCAATCTCGAAACCCTAGCCAATGGAGATCAATGGTTGTAGACAAATGAATGAGACCGACGGCTTCATGTGTCAGCTTGAAATCCTAAGAGGCGGCGCTGATTAGGGGTGAGCATAATAACCAAAAAACCGAACCAAAACCAAATTAACCGATAAAACCAAACCATATTAACACGACCATTTTAAAACCCATGGTTTGGTTTGTGTTTTTTCCTAACTGATAACTAACGGTTCAATTATGAATTTATAGATTAACCGAACCGTTATTAACCGAACCGATAACTTTATATTTAAATATATATAATTATATAACATATATAAAATAATATAGCTCAACTTATTCAAGTGAAACTAATTTTTTTTTAATATCACTAATGATAACTTATCAGTAGACATGATTGACGAATTAAACTATCTACAGTTTCACACACACCAACACATGCAATTCGCAATCACACACATGGATACATGCAATTAGCAATCATGTGTTGTGCTAAGACAATTGATTAATTTAGTAATTCTTAATTCTATAGTTTGTAAACATTTAGCAGAGTTAATCGGAGGTCACATTCAAATTAAAAAGTTATATGTTTTATTTTATTACTAGCCGTTTACCCGCGCTAAGCGCCGGGCGGCAAATAGTTTCTTTCGGAAGATAGTTTTAATAGTTTCCTTTAGACGTGAGTTATTCATTGCGGCCATTTAGTAGACTATTATGTGTCGAATAGTTCATTTCAACATATAGTTTCTTGCTAGGTGTATAGTCATACAATACGATAAAAGTTAAGTCTACATCTCAAATAATTCATCTGATAGTTCATACTTGATTTTAACAATATATAAATAACAACAATCTGCAACCATATAGTTTTGTACATTTATAACATGTCCAATATATAACCTACACCAATCTGTAATCATGTTGCTTCATCTGCTAGCCCTGCATTAAACATCAAATAAGCATCTAAGATACATATTTGAAGAAATTGTATAATAATAAGTTGTTGATTGTACCTTGTTAATCACATAACACTTCTTTGTACACAACGTTTGATGTGTAGATTCCATCATTATGAAACGTTTTTTCCGGCTTTACTAATACCTTGGTATTGACACGTGATATTCCTCTGGACAACGCCACATAAAGCTGGCCATGTGAGAATACCGATTCTGGTAGATAAACACCTACATTTGGAATTGTTTGTCCTTGAGCTTTATTGATTGTCATAGAGAAACTAAGCTGAATTGGAAACTGCTTTCTTTTAAGTTTGAATGGGAACATCTCATCGTCAGACGGACATAGAGGAATTCTTGGTAAAAACACTCTTTTTCCAGCATGTTGGCCAACCGCTATCTCTGCATCAATGACATTTTGTTGGAAAGCTCGACATATCAATCTGGTGCCATTACATAACCCATTTGAAGGATCGATATTTCGCAAAAGTATTACAGGGCACCCAGTTTTTAACCGAAGATAATGAGGGGGTACACCACTAACATTTAGCGAGTTCAAATACTCCATCGGATATAAGTTATTTTTGTCATCTTCCGCTTCATCAAAACTATAGTAAACTTTTTGCTCGCCAGAAAATCGTTCGATCAACTTATTATTAATCTCATCAACACTTTCATTTTTAGTTGACAGTATCGCCCTCGAAATGATAAATTTTGAGTCGGCGCCGTTGGATTCCAAAGAAGGAAATATTGCATCAATCAGAGCGTCCACTGATTTAGTTTTATCAGTGTACCGAATGGACATGTTATCAGGTATACGAATATAGGACTCGTCCAATGTTTCCTCCTTTCCATCACCGACTCGTAATAAAAAATCAGAAAACCATGGGTCATTTACCGCTCTCATGTTGATACTTAATCGAAGCCTTTTAACTGAAGCCCATAGAGGTGACATTCGTAAGCTAGAGTCGACAATTTGTGCTCGAGTGCCACGTCTCACGACCGGTAACACTTGTCTAAAGTCACCTCCCATAACCATTATCTTTCCACCGAAAGGGAGCTTCTCATCTGTGATGTCTTGCATTGTGCGATCAACTGCTTCTACTGCCTGCCTCTTAGCCATTGCTGCTTCATCCCATATGATTACCTTTGCCTCGCGAAGTATCTGAGCCTTCCCACTTTGTTTAGTGATCTTGCACATCGAGTTATTATCAAGATTGAGCGGAATTCCAAATCGTGAATGAGCTGTTCTCCCTCCTGGCATGTTGTTAGCCGCAACACCTGACGTGGCAGTTGCAAGTGCAATAAGACCACGAGCACGAATATTAGCCAACAAAGCTTTGTACAAAAATGTCTTTCCAGTTCCACCGGGACCATCTATGAAGAAGACACCCGGAATATTTTGATCCACATGCCTCATTATCTCATCATATGCAAACTTCTGGTCTGGATTGAGAGAGTCTCGCGCATGTAAGTCTTCATATTCCACATTTATAGAGTATTCTTCTTGCACCTCACGATAGCCTCTTGATTGTAAATCGATGTGTGCACTGACCTTTGGAAGGTCGTAATCACTAAGCTTTTTACTCATAGATTCTAGGAAGACTCTAATGTCGATGAGGACCATATTTTGCACTCGCTCGGCGCATCCATATTGTTTCCTGTAATCTTCAGAAAGAGAATCATAGTGGTCGTCCCATAACTTGCGAACATTTCCTGGTTCACAAAAAATCAGCATCGTCGCAAATAACCTTCTAAGTGCGCTGGGAAATTGAAATAAGGAAGCCTCTTCAAGACACTGTGATAAATTATCATCCGTCTCTATTAAACCTCTTTCAAGAGCTGCTTTTCGAAATGTAGGGTGTAATACACCATTTGCTGTGTATAAATCTTCAAAGCAGGTAGGCCCGGTGATATGACATAAAAGCAGGCGTAGGTAGTATCTCTCTCCTTCAGCTGGATTAGCATAAACAAGTCGACCAACCATTGATTTATGTTCCCGGATCCTCCAACAATGGTTGCTCCGATTCCATGTAAAATGTTTGGGAAAATCCTTATACAAATATTCTCTCGCTTTGGAATCTTCTTTATTCTTCTTGAAAAATGCCGTCAACATTGAATCTTTTTCTTTCTCTCTATCAACAATGTCTTCCATTCTGTCAACGTCTTTGAACCTAACCAACTGTTGATTCGGGAGATGTATTTGCAACGCCATCACACAAGGGTGGATTTTTGATAGAGGAAAGCTAAAAACTCGCCATAATGCCTCGGGAGGGGACACATAACGTGCGTCTTGAAACTTTTTTATCTCATTAATAACAACATTTTCTTGGTCTTTATCAATATGGATAACTTGTTTGTCATGGCCCTTATAAACATATTTGAAGAGGTACTTCACAGACTTTATACTCGAACAAACCTCAACGTTGATATGACAATTAAACATCATTAACAACTTCGGGTTGTATGGAGCCACCCATCTGTTATCCAATGATGTATTTCTTACAGTAACCTCAATTCCATTATTTCTCCTTCTATATAATGGATATGAGTCCTCTCCTTGTGATGTCTTTTCATTGAATTGCCTAGGATATCTGAAACGACATATTTTTGGCACACCCTGCATACACGGACTTTTTTCTCGTAAGCTACCACAGGGACCGTGCATCATGTGACTTTTGACAAGATCATGCATTTCAGGAAACCTTATTGGGTCGGGAATTTCGGCACACACAAGTTTGTCATAATCGTCTGGATTATTCATCTTATATCCAGGGGTCATTATTAAGAGGAAATGTGCATGTGGCAATCCACGCTTTTGAAACTCTATCACATACACATATGACCCCACCACACCGATTATATGTCTCTGCAATAATTGTACCTTGAGATCCTCTAACTTAGCATGAAAAACTCTTGCAACAAGGTCCGGTCGATCTTGAGCTGACTGTCCAGGCAATAACTCATCATCGATTTCTTTCCATTTTGGGTTGCAAGTCATTGTAAGAAATATATCAGGCCTCCCATCATCTTGAACTAAAGCCATGGCATCCAGAAATCTTCGGCGCATGTCACGTGGACCTCCAATGAAACTTGCAGGTAACACAACTCTCTGTCCAACCCTACTTGGTTGAGCCTCACCGGCATTAAAACAATCAACAATGCCCTGGTATAAATCAGCTCTAATTTTGGTTTGGTTCTTTTCAACAAAAACCAAACGTGTAGTCTCAATCTTTATATAGGTATCTACTGCAAACTGCTGGAACAATCTCCCTCCCATCAAAATCACATTATCATTCGACCGTATCTGGAACTTGTAACAATAGTACTCCCGCATACTTACAGTGTTTCTGCCTTTTTTTGAAGTAGATCCTGTGATATCATAATTTATGTGAAAAATATAAATTTAATATCCAAATATTTAAGGCAATACGTGTTACATGTTTTAAATATGTAAAAGAATGTTAAAGGCGTACCTTCTGAACCTTCATCATTGTCTTCATTGTCACTAATAATTTCATCCATGGCCACCCCATATCTTGGTATTTTAGGATGCCATCCAGACTCACCATTAGGAAAGAATAAAGGATACGACAAAGGATCATAACAACCAAAGTGAGGTTGAATTTCAGTACTATAGTTAGACCTCCCGTAGACAATAATACTTCTTTTATATGCAGTGATGTTGTCATTTCCTTCAACCCAAATACCAGCAACCTATGCAAAGGTGTAGTTCAATATGGTGATTAATATGATATGTATAACAATAAATATGAGACATTTAATTTTAAAATGAATAAAGTTAAATGTTACTATTCACACCTCAGATGTGGTAGGCTTATTGTACACCCTTTGGTCAAGCTCCACCGATGCATTCAAAGTCACTCTATAATTATCAAGCGGTCCTAGATCAGAAAGTTGTTTAAATGTTCTAACGTACGGATTCGAAGCTAGAATACGTGTTAGTTTTTGGATGATTCTTCTATCAACATTCTTCCAGGAGGATCTTTGTGATATTTCAGCTTCACCGTCATAAAAATACAACTGTAAATACCTCGATTTACCATCCCTTGAAATTAGCTGATCGATATTATGATAGAGTGTTCCGTGCGCACAAAAAGTGTAAACTCCAGAATTCATATTGGCCAATTCTTTATCCACATTTACACCTAGTGATGCGAAAGAAAAGTTTGAGTTATACGCCCTTATATTGTACCTGAAGCTTTCTTCTAGCTGCTCTTGCCTTGTGAAGAGTTGGTGCAACTCTGTGGGAATAGGGGAGTGTGCCAGTTTTGTCTTCCCACTCATGCAACAAAAGGTAGGGAATTCATATTGTAGTCGCTTTGCTCCACAATAAACACAAGGGTTTTGAGCCTTTAATATACGATGTTCCATACGGATATTTTCATAAACAAAATCATACGGATCGTCCTGAAAGGCGTATACTCTTCTTTTTGTCATCATAGTTCGTTCCTTTCTTCGTTGATAATATTCTTTATTATAAGTACTCGTCCTCTGAGCAGCACTTATAACACTCACAGAGGAATCTTCGTTGATATTTGTTTCGTTTGTCTCCATTATAGTGCAACTTGTGAGTGTTGTAGGTTGACTACATCCTTCACCGTTAGCTATTCTTCTCTTTTTGTTTTTCTCCTTTTTTCGTGCATAATAGTTTCTATTGTATCTTTTTCGATTTTCTACAAACATATTATTTGGATAAATAGTTATATATTATAAATGCAAATATATACTCATATAAACGACATACCTTTTTCTATATCTATCGGGTTTTGGGAATCATCACAGTTTTCGTTTCCCTTATCTACAGTCCCCATTGAACACTATAATGGAAATGTTAAGAATAAGCACATATTATATCATCAAGAATGTAACATTTTGTAATGTAGACCATGTGATTTAGTAGTCATGTATGTGTGTGTTTCAAAAAGCAACACAACCCTTAATAAATAAACAAATATACTAAAAACTTGTAATCCAAAAACACAATAGAAGAAAGTTATACATAATTAAAAGAAAATTTCCATAGATATCCAAAAATTATTATTTATGAATTCATAAGTCAACACAAGAAAAATAAACCATACATAAAAAATTCACCATAATATGTCTAACATTAATGTAGATCAACAATAAAAGCAACGCACTCGTAAAAGTTGTCAAAACTTCAAAAAAAAAACACCACCAAATGTCTCACACGGAATTAAAAATTCTTCTAGGCATATTTATGATGTTAAATGCTTCCGGCATCCGCGGTTGGAACTCTACGTTGCTTAGTTTGGTTGATATCAATAACAATTTATATTAGTACAAACTTATCATATATCAGATCTAAACATTAACAACTGTACACATGCTCATTAATTCAACAAGAGATTCTCACGTTACACTAATTTTTTGTTGAAAAACTAATCAAATTTGATTTAAACATTAATTTATTTTTTGTTTTTTAAATACCAACACAACCCTTAATAAATAACCAAATATACTAAAAACTTGTAATTCAAAAACACAATAGGAGAAACTAATATATAGTTAAAACAATTATCCATTAATATCCAAAAATTATTATTTATCAAGTCATAAAGCAACATAAGAAAAATAAACCGTACATGAAAAAATTCACCACAATATGTCTAACATTAATGTAGATCAACTCTAAAAGAAAACGCACTCGTAAAAATTCTCAAAACTTCAAAAAAAAAAAACACCACTAAATGTGTCACACGGAATCAAAAATTCTTCTAGGCATATTCATGATGTTAAATGCTTCCGGCATCCTCGGCTGGAACTCTACGTCGGTTAATTCGGTTGATATCAAAATGTTCACTGAAAATAATATAAAAACTATTAAAACGATTGATTTAGTTATTTTAATATCACTACAAGTATATAATTTTCTAAAAAAAACTTACTTGTATCCAAATGAACCAATTTTACCCGAGAAACAAATATTATATAGTTTCTCTTTATTGCATAGCAAGTCCTCACAATCTGATGGCGTGTTCGTGCGGTTACATATAGCTTCAACTTTATTATACTCTCCCTATTTATAATCAAATATTTCCAAAGTCATCTAAATTTGTTTTAGTGTAATAATAATAATAATAATAATAATAATAATAATAATAATAATAATAATAATCACTTACGGGCCATCTTGGAGATATAAAGTGAACGAAGTTAACGGCATTAAACCAAAGTAACGGAAATATTTTCGCTTGCCTTTGATGATTTTTCCAACAATATCTAAAAAACAACGATTATTAAAAGGATAAGTTATTATTTTAAAAAATTTAGGATGTTAAAAATATATATATAAAAGTTATTAAATTTACCAATCATCATTTTTCTCTCTGTCCGATCCTCTATTAAACTTTTAATCGAGGGAACCAATGGAAAAACCGGAAACCATGATATGATAGAATCGGCCAAACGATTAAACCGCGTGTTATTGCTGATCCTAATCATCAGATCACCACGTAATAAGCTGTATTTTTGATACCTCGGATACTCAGCATAGGTTGGTTCGATTTGGAAATGGTTTAAAGAGAACACACCACCCAATAGATTCCCTCCATAAACAAAACGCATCATTTGTTGTGGAACAACTGCTACCAATTTTTCTCTCTAATAGAAAATGTAATATTTTTATAAACAAAATACTTATGATAAATTATGAAAATGAATATAAGATATAAATAGTTTTTTAAACATACATTTTGATCAATGAGGATAATGAAGAGTTTGTTTGCTTTTACGTCTCTCCAAATGAAATTCACACGAACGGGTGTCAAAATATACCACAAATGGAAGTTCAGTAGCAATGAAAATGCATCAACATAAATGTGACCGTTCATGATTCTACAAAACAAAAGTCAGATATGATTGATTAAAATTGTCAAAATTGAATTTAAATCTTACTTTTTGTTGAAATGGTTAAAATTGTTTAACAATACAATGACTCTTCTACAAACTAACTAAACGATTACAATTGACAATTGAGATTCCATTTTAGCTGACGGTCGTGGATAGGATTTGACAATTTGTTACAAATGGATAAGTATTAATTCTTAAAATAATTTATTCCATCTAAAATTACCATCTAACCCTTTAGCTGAAAATATTGAACCTAATCTAATCTAAGGTAATGAAACTTTGGGTTTTATACTTAAACTTTGAACCAACGATTTTAAACGATGAAACATCAATACTAAATTTGGTGTTTAATAAAGTCTTTCGTCACCAAATTTAATGTGACATTATTCATAACACCATTTCTACATAAAAAAAATTATGTTGATGTAGAAATGATTTACATCATTATTTATATAAAAAATTATATCGATTTAAATGCCAAATGTATAATAACATAGGTATTGTAAATTTGAAATATCCAAGCAATAAGACTTTTTATTACATTAGTTATCAGAAGTCAAGTTGATGACAAACTTTATCAATTTATATCTTATTTGACCATTTTCATGAAAAAGTTTATCAAAACAGCACTTATTTGACCATTTTCATGACAAAGTTTAGGGAAAGGAATATTCAAAAGTAGAAAACCCTAAGTTGCCTATATCCCCAATGCCTAAAAAATTACTAAACGGACATCATTTCTGGATTATTATGGTTTTTTTCATATTTCCAATCTATGTTTTTTTAGTTACACTTTGCAGCATTTGCAGCATTTGGAACCGGATTTTTTTTTCACATCCTATATTTTTGTTGAACCAAGGGCAAATCGGTAAATTCATAAACTGTGGATATATCATATCATATATGTAATATTTGTGATATATGTGATATTTATAAGTATATAGACCATAGTTATATGAGTAAACAAAAAAGGGTATATTCTCTTTAAGTATATACTAAAATTAATTGGCAAAAATAAAAATGCA